AGGGCAGGGCAGGGCGGGGCGGGGCGGGGGGGAATAGAGAGGTCTGGTCTCCCAAAGTTGGTGGGTCAGGAGAGTCTACCCTCCCAGATATGGGGTGAGAGCTGGGCCGTACCAACCACCCCAAAGCGGGGGGCGGGGGCACGCTGGTGCCAAGTGAAGTTCTGGGGGTGTAGTAGGCCTTGGGCCCTACTACGATTGTGTGCGGTGGAGGGTGGGTGATGCCTGGAAGTGGGGTGTATTATGGGATGGGGGCATTGCCGTGTCAGCCCCGGGATGTTGGGGTGGGGTGGGGGCTGGTCCTTGGGGATGTGGCCCCCTTGGCTGTGGGTGGCTTTGGGGCTGGGCTGGAGAACAAGGGCCAGGCCAGTGCAGGGGCTGGGCTGGGCTGGGCTGGGGGAGGGCCTTGAGGGGACAGGGGCTACAGGTTGGGAGTGCAGGGCGCTGGCAGGACAGCAGGGGTGCCTGGAAATCTGACCCCTGCTCCCCGCAGGTCCCTGAGTCTCTGCCTGGCCTGGTGAGAGGAAGATGAAACCCGCGGCGAGGAAGGCTGCCAGCTCCTCACCCGCGTCCAGCACAGGCAGTGGCAGCCACTCTCCCCCCTCCACCCGAGCTAAGGCCCAGCGGCGCCGCCCGGCTGAGGGGGGCCCGAGGCTGGAGGAGGAAGAGGAGGGCGGGGGCAGCGAGGACACTCCTGACCAGCCACCCGTCTTCCCCAGAGCCCGCTGCACCATGGAGCCCACCCTGGGCCCACCTGTAGAGGCCCCCGAGGCAGAGGGGGTGCCAGGGCCCGACGGGGAGCCCTCCCCCAACCGCAAGACGGCTGCCTTCAAGGCCCGCACGCCACGGCGCAAGGCGGTGGGGCCTGGTGAGGACTGGAGTGGCAGTGAGGGCTCAGCCGCCCCCCCGGAGGACGAGCCCGGGGGCCGGTGCCCCTCATCCAGCACGGACACAGCCAGCGAGCACTCGGCTGATGAGGAGGCGAAGGCTGGGCCGGTGGCACAGCCCTGGGGCCCAGCGCCCACACCTGCACCCTATGACCTGCACCAGCTGCGCTCCCAGCGGGTGCTGGCCCGGCGCGATGGGCTCTTCCAGCCTGCTGTGGTCAAGCAGATCCGACGCGGGCAGGACCTGGGTGTACAGTTTGGCGGTGACCGGGCGGTGACCTACTACGAGGGGGCACTGAGTGCCGGGGCCCCAGATGTGGTCCTGGACGCCACGCCCCCGCCAGGCGCTGTGGTCGTGGGCACGCCCGTGTGCGCTTGTGTGGACCCAGGTGAGACGGCCTACCGCGAGGGCACTGTGGTGGAGGTGAGCGTCAAGCCAGCCTCCTACAAGGTGCGGTTTGGGTTGTCGCCTGGCCCCAGCCCCAGCCCGCGCCGC